TGTGCACTCGTAAAACAAGCCTGAATCTCAACATACAAAGTTATTCAGATTAGACCAACATCTGGGAACATCCTCACGCTGCCTTTCAGCAAGATTAAGGAAGAACCCAGTTCTCTTTTCATTAAATGCAAATCCATCCTAAGTCTGTGGTCGTCCATCCAATCACTTTAATGCAAAATCAGTCCCTTAGAGTCACAGCAGTTTTGGTTTCCTGTCAAAACAGCTAGAAATTTGTGGTTCAAAGAAGCTGTATCTCAGAGAAATGGTCAGATCAGAGCTTGGATGTGCCTGGGGCAGCCAAGCCTGACCTAGGGAGGGAATGACACGGGGAAAGCAGCAAGCCCCATGTGACAGATAATGTTGCAGTCAAGCTGCTGGGACTGAGCTACCCCAAAGGCGTCAGCGCTGGGATCCCTCAGGGTGGTGCTGTGCCCTGGGTCCCAGGCTGAGGGCATGAGTGGGAGCTGCTGCAGGTTGGTGGGGACGAGCTCTGATGTGTGGCGGGAAGAGCCTCTGCAGCCACTGGTGCTGGAGATGGTGCTTTTGGGAACTGGGGTGTCTGTGAAGAGACGGGGAGCTCTGGGACTGGAGGGGCTGAGACAGGGATGGGCCAAGGACTAGATCCCCATGGAGAAGCAAAGGAGCAGCTCTCTGGGGTCTGAGGATGGAAGATGAGAATTTTCTGCTTAAACCTCCACAGAACCTGGCAGAGTCGAGTCCTGCCCTCCCCTGCTCTCCCCTTTGCTGTCAGCATGGAGGGACCAGCACTCGTGTCTGCATGGACACCACAGGCACGCTGGACCAGAGGGATGGAAGGTTGGTGCGTCCGTGGCACCGTATCGCTGCTCCAGCACCAACAGTGTGCTCGGGGGGGGTTGAGGTGCAAGATAAACATCCCCTGGCAGGGCTGCCCGGCACTGCTGTGTCTCTGCGTGTACCTTGCTTGGGCGTTCAGTGCTGAGCTGGGCTCGGCTGAAGGGCGGCGGAGGCTCGGCGTTGGTGTGAGCATCCCCCAGAGCTCCTGCTCTGCCTCTCCGGGGGCTGTGGGTGAACACCTCCCAGGAGGGCCCGGGGCTCGGGCTGGATGCGGAGCCAGGCGGTG